GATAAAGCTGGAAGGCAATATAACTAAACGTCCTAAATTTTCTATGTGTGTATCTCCCTGTACTGCATCATGAAGATCCACATAATTTTCGGCACGCAACTGTCTCTGATGAGTACGAATGAATACTAAACGCTCTGTTTCAACTTTTGCGTACATATCAACAATAAACTGGTTAAATAAGCCACGAAATCGTTGTAAATATACAAAACGACGTTGTCTTATTTGCATGAGATAACAATAAAATTGCAGAGCCGAAACTTTTCTATCTAACCGAGGTGCTCCTGTAGCTGGGTCAACTTGATAAATCGTAAAGTTGTAATCATCTTCACCGCGACAGTAAATAAGTGGGTATTGTAAGGAGTCGTAAGAACGATGAGTCTCACTAATTCGTTGCAGGCGGTCATCACGCGTACGTACTATAATGTCGCGCTTGTCGCATTGCTGATCCACCAGGACAACTGCCACTTCATTGGTGGATGGAGAATTATAACGGCCGGAATGTTGCACTAAAGGTCGCTTATCCGCGCTAATAACAAACTTATAATTATTGTATTCATCTTGAGGGATCGACTCTAGTACAGCTTTGAAATTGGATACATAAGGGTTGACCTGATGCAGCATACCCTGAAGCTCTGAGATAACATTAGCGTTTAAATTTGGGAAATTCTGCCTCCTTATATTGGTTTGTTCATGGTAATCAGAAACGAAATATATTTGTAAAAACTTTGGTTCTGTCTCAGGCAAAAGCGAACCAATTAAGTGATAGACTTGCCCCTGCACTTTAAAAGTAGGCATAAATGTTCCATGTACTACTTGCTTGGCCCCGAAAGAAGTCATCTGGAATGCCCCGTTGTATGAACGGATATTGTCTAAAAACTGCTTGGAATGTGGATGGTCACCATTAAGTAGCGATTTAAGAGGTTCTGGGGGCTCTTGAAATATTTCCAATTGTACCTTGCCAGCTGAACAGCAAAACCCGTTTGATTCTTTAGACCACTTAAGTGATTGACAATGACTACAAGTGCGAATCATTCTTCCGATTTCGGCAAATTCACTATAGTTAATATTAAAAGTATAGGTAAAACCACTATTTTCTTTATCAACCCAAGGGAGATCAGTGTAGTTCTCTCTGTCCATAGACGGCGGAGTAAAGGTGGGTGAACGATTTATAAAAGTACGAATACGATCAGCTTGTAACCGAATTGCACGTTCATTCTCTGTCTCGTTACTCCTAATCGCTTGCACTCTTTCCCTTTGTAAAGACAAAAGTTCGTTACGGTGTTGAAGCGAATTTTCATAATATCCCCTTGCCAATTCTAAGCGTAAGTCATGCTCTTGCTGGGTTTCATGTGTCCTACTTACCGAACGGCTCTCCCTATCTGCTGCTAACCTCGCTTCATATTGAGTAAATGATACCGAAGCACGTGATCTTGCATGACGTTCCCGGTCTGCAGTCAAGCGTTCCGAATATTGAGTAACCGTTTCTGAAGCGCGAGACTTAGCATGACGTTCACGATCTGCAGTCAACCGTTCTGAACACTCCGTAAATGTTTCCGAAGCGCGAGACTCAGCATGACGCTCACGGTCTGCAGTCGAGCGTTCTGAATATTGAGTAAACGTTTCCGAAGCGCGAGACTCAGCATGACGCTCACGGTCCGCAGTCAAGCGTTCTGAATATTGAGTAAACGTTTCTGAAGCGCGAGACTCAGCATGACTCTCACGGTCTGCAGTCAAGCGTTCTGAATATTGAGTAAACGTTTCTGAAGCGCGAGTTTCAGCATGACGTTCACGGTCTGCAGTCAAGCGTTCTGAATATTGAGTAAACGTTTCTGAAGCGCGAGACTCAGCATGACGTTCACGGTCTGCAGTCAACCGTTCTGAACACTCCGTAAATGTTTCCGAAGCGCGAGACATCGCGTGACGTTCGCGATCTATAGCTAAGCGCGTTTCATTATTAAAACTGGACTCTGATGCCCGAGATTCCGCAGTTTGTTCTCTATTGTAAGCTAAACGGTGCTCACGGTCCTCATTTGTCTCTTGCGATCGAACTTGTCTCATCCTTTTAGCCCTTCTAGTGTATTGAGAAAGACTACTTTTCTTTTTTTGCGGCATTATTTAAAATTTATTCAACAACCAAAACACAAAACAAAATCCTTATCCGAAAATGTAATCACGTATGTAACAATTTAGTGATCACTTAACCTTAGACTACAATAATAATATTATTTAATTCAATTTAATTTAAATTTAAAATATTATTATAGTCTAATAAATCCAAACAACTAATTCCGTATCTTAAGACAAAATATCAGAAAACCGTATTTCGTAAGATGATGTAATGAAAGGTCAAAGAATAGAAAATTAAGCACACAGTATTAATATTGTTTTGTTATCACAAATATAACAACTTTCGCAAATTATTACATTGTGTAGATATAAAATAATTTGTCATCAGGAAAACTCACGAAAAATCTTACCTACGCGAGGTAGATGTTCAGCAATGACATCTAACGGAACCTAACGGAAAATGATAAAATAAAATAGTGACATCTTATATAATATTATCATTGTACCAATATATATTTCATAAAACAAATAAAATAGTTATATTCCTATTATAGGATAGATAAGGACCTAACTAGAAATTATAATTGTTCATTATGTATTTATACAAATAATATATACAATTTAAATAGTCGCCGTGAAGTGACGCAGTAAGAGAAACATACTGTTTAATGAGGGCTAATAATTTTCTGCTCACCAGATGTCGCTAGTTGACACTGAGATAAAGCTTTTTGTTACACAATGTAATTTAATGGAGAAGTAAGTTTTTAATAGAAGTTTATAAGTTTCTAGAGTATTATACTAATACACAAAACAATGCCTCAGTGGTTTGCTGTTTAATTTATTGCACATTTTTAACTTTTTTAAATTTTTCTACTTTCATGAATATCTATTTATTTTTAATCTTATAAATATAAAATATAGCTAACAGTACAGAAAGAAACATTAACCTTTACATTTTTCGAACAAATTAACTTCCCCGCCCTGATATCTGTCAAATATTATACCTCACTTTTAAGTGGCGCCGCCCTGGTGGCAGAAAAGATGTGGATGCCGTCATTGTAACTTACTTTTCCTTAAATGGCGCTATTATGTATTTAAATTAAACTTGATTTTCATAACGATAGACAAAATTTAAAAGCAATACATACATATAAAAAGCTACTATAAATATTTATATTTTTTAGTAAAACTTTAATATGTTTAATAAATAATTTATTAGTGCCTGAAGGGAAAACGTAATACTTTTTGCCTTTTAATAATAGATGGCACTGTCTTATAAACATACAATGCAGTCGGTGAAGTTTTAAACTAAGTTTCAACGGTAAACATAATATATTAAGCTTCAGTTATAAATATACATTACAAATTAAGAACTTTACGTAATCGACCTTAAGACTAATGACATTTTATGCACCTATTATAAAATTAACTCCAAAGAAAGGTAAAAAACATAACCTTCTTTTTTGATGCTCCGTAATCGGATAAAAAGTAGCCTATAAGTTGCCCCGGGTTCTTAACTACCCACTTACAAAATTTCATGTATATCCGTCCCGTAGTTTTTGAGTGAATCCGGAATACACAGACAGACAGACAGACAGACAGACAGACAGACAGACAAAAATTCTAAAAACTACTAAATTTGTTTCAGTACCGCTTGTTTAGTCCCCTGGACTTGTTTTTTTCACAAAATAATAGAATTACAGACACGACTTTTCTACAGATTTATTATATGTATAGATTACGTGTCACGTTGTTTGTTCGCGATGGACTCCCAAACTACTAAACTGATTTCAATGAAATTTTGCACACTGTGTGCAGTTTGGTCCAACTTGAGAGATAGGATAGTTTTTATCCCGACAAGTGACCCTCAATTTTTTTATTGCTAATTTCAGTTTTTTTTTTTGGGAAAATAAATAGTCGTTCGGAAAGGGCAGAACAACGTCTGCCTGTTCATCTAGTATTTTATATATTGTGTTCTTTTTGTTGATGATATTTCTTTAATTCTTCCCTGTCCCAACGGCACTAGTTAATAAATTGCTGGCACCACGATCACAATCTCGAGATCAATTTTAAGACAAACAAACTTACAATTTAGACCATACCAAAAACGCTCCTTACATATCAACGACCAATACCTAAAACATTCCCTTAGAATCTGTAGTCTCGCTGTCTTTTGGGTATAAATATAGATGTAGATTTAAAGTTCCATCCAACACTTTAATAATGTTGTCAAAAAGTTATCTAGTTTTACATACGCTCATACAGAACTTAAAAAATCACAGACTTATAAACCTGTGTTAACTACGCGTACGAAAACGTCTGGTATTTTTTCTTTTTTTCTAATTTTTTTTTTCTAATTTTAAAAAACGTTACCCCCACACTAGGATTTTCTCCTGTGTCGTGGAGGCAGTTTACAAACATAAATTGCACAAGGACAAACATCCAGACCCGGAACAATTATTTGTAGACCATACAAATACTGCTTCCGTGCGGGATTCGAACCCGCGGGCCCCAGCGCAACAACTGATTGCTAAACCCCTACGCCACGGAGCCGTCGAATTTTGGGATAACAGCACAGACGCTGGTAAAGTATTTCTTATTCAGAAAAAATGTATTGGCGTACTTAATAAGTATGATTTCAAGTTTTATTGTCACTATAATCTCATTTTAGTCCTTTGAGGTGAAAACACATCTGTGGCCTGTCTGTTGCGGTTGTGGCGCGTTTCCGTAGTCAGCAGTAGCCGCTTGACATCCGGTTTTAGTCAAATGTTGGCTCAATTTTAGTAACAGATTTGTTTTAAGCATACTACATACGTCAGTTGCAAAACCTAAAATAAACAATTTTTAAGGTGCTATTGGTAAATTCTGCCTACTCGATAAAGTAAGTAACCAGATCCTCGTTTATTATTCTGAAGATGTTATTATGTATGCAGGTTGAAGCAGAATGTTCAGGTCTCCAGCAACAAGTAGAAGTTCGCGAGGTTAGCAGCCGCGCGGCAGCATTAGGTGCGCGACTTGGTGACGCAGCCGCTTTGGCTGAACCGAGAGAGAATGCCTTTTTAGCCGTCGATTTCGCCCACAATGACGCCCAGCAGAGGTTCGTTGAGGCGTTGGCTGAATTAGGACGGGTGCGGACCAGTACAACGTTCCCCGGCTTGTGTACACTACAATTAGGTGAGTTTTATTCTTAATAAATGTGAAGTAAAAATTAATAAACTGTTCAACTTTCTATTAATACTATTAATGATTTTGTTGTAGTTTTCTCACTTAGTCAGTTTTTTATGTGGTCTCATAATTTTTTATTAAAGTATGGTTGACATTGAGCACAAATGCAATTCCTCGTTACCGTAAAGGGTCTCCGGTTTTCGTCACTCGCCATATGAAACAGCACGTAATGCGGTTATTTTATTTTGGTATTCTGAGCAAACGTGTTTCTTCCCCGGTCAAGTCGACCCATCTGTGCCATGAAACACTGCAGGGTGGTTTTACCACGTATAAAAAACTATAAGTTAATGAGTTCATGTAAAAAAAAATTGTTTTATAAATGATCGGCTATTTTTAGGGTTCTCTTTTTCTAATTTACCCGACTTAAAAAAAAGATTCTTAATTCGACTGCATTCTTGTGTGTACGTTACGCGATGTCTTCTACGATTGTGTATAAATCTTTCCAAATCAAGTAGGGTTTCATGGCTATTAAATATTTATGAGGTAACATTCAAGAGGCAACAATCCATTATACGTGGCAGAGACATTCTGCAGCTGCAGGAATGACCACGGACCGGAGACCTTCTTGACTGGAAACAAGGCATTCTATCTTGGCCCTCTGTCGTGTCAACGCATCTGCGCTTTGAGTGTTATTGATCTCGTTTGTCACCCTTATGCTACTATTATATGCTAGATTAAAATAATAATAAATAATTTTGCATATAAATTTTGAACACTTTAGCAAATACCCAGACATTTACAACAGCTCGTGATCTTAAAATAATAATGAAATCTCAGTTTTATTGTATTGTATGTGGAGCATACAATATAATAAAACTGACATGTTCATTGCGAACTCCTTTCCTCTACTCTCACTTGATGTTTTGTAATTAAATAAAATGACCCTTTAATGATAAAATGACGCGCAAGTTTCATACCTATTTTTATCATATCAATGTGTTTTACTTTGCTGTTGTTGCACTTGTACTTGTCTTTTTTAACAATAAGGTCTAAGAAAATATACAGGGCCCGTCTTTCAAATTTGAACTTGTTATTAAAGTAACACCGTATAAAAAGTAAGTAATATTAATAAATTTAATGATTTCTTATATTTCGCGAAGACTACACATTAAATGAAACTAATTTTTACGGATTTGTTCAAGTTGAATTTAACTTTTTAAATCCCGACGTTTCGGGTGCTTTACAGCACCCATGGTCATGGGGGAGAGGGGGACTGAGGTATTTGACGTCCCGATGTCAGACAGGATTGCAATTGCAATTGCGAATATGACAAGGGCAGGGCAAATTGGTATCATAGAGAAAAAAAAAGAGGTAAAAAAGAATAAACACACACACACACACACGTGCGCGCGCGCACGTGTGTGTGTGTGTGTATTCTACATACATAGGTATATTGACTTATTTAATTAATTAAATGAAATCGATATGCTACATATAATATTATATTTAATGGCTACTGTGGAAGTGAAGTTAGAATTTAAAGTGCGAGGTAATGATTCTTAACTAGTTTTTTAAATACCGGTAGGGATGGTGCGCGTTTTACTGACAATGGGAGTTCATTCCATAAATGAACGGCCTGTACAGTAAAAGATTTGTTCATAAATTTTCTTGTGTATAGTGGCAAATTCAACTTCAAGCTCTCTGCTTATCTCTTACGCGAATGGGAATCACGAAGAAACTAGAAATTAGGATGTTTTTTTAATTTCAATCCTTGGTAGGAATCGGTGTTCTTTTGCGAGGGTTTGTGGTCTATCAAATCTAATAATGTAATGGCGGGGACGATCTTGAACATGTTCACACACTGCAGAGTTCCCGGAACGTCGGTGCTTCAAGTCAGCTATATGTTTTTTCACGCGGGTTGTATAACTGGGCTAACTATGACATCGGGACGTCAAACACCTCAATTCTCCACCCACCCCCACACCCCCGTGACCATGGGTGCTGTAAAGCACCCGAAACGTCGGGGAATTAAAAAGTTAAATTAAACGTGATAAAATCCGTAAAGATTAGTTTCATTTAATAAATTTAGTTGATAATGAACCCCGGAAATGAGGTGATCACTGCCAAGTTGTTTTAAATTTTTGTAATTCACCGTATAACTTTTTTTTATAAAACTAAAGTATCAAATGAACTTTTGTACTATCCACCTAATTTACGAGGGTGTAAAAAAGTTGTTTTCCCGATGGATACCGCATTCGCTCTGTGAAGAGCAAAAAGCGGCTCGCGTTACTTGGTGCGTCAGAACTCTCGAAAGATTCCACGGAGGATCCTCAAATGCTATATACAACATCGTATCAGGTGACGAATTCTGGATATACGCGTACGAACCCGAAACAAAAAACTAGTCACGAGTTTGGGTGTTCGAAAATAAAAAAAAATGGTGGCCACGTTTGTCCCCAAAACCGGCCATGTTACGACTATTCCTCTTGAGGGACAAAGAACGGTTAATGCAGAATGGTATGCTAGCATTTGTTTGCCACAGGTCGTTTATGAACTCCGTGAAGAGAACTGCAACCGCCACATCATCCTCCATCACGACAATGCGAGTTCTCACACCGCACACAGAACAAAATAGTTTTTAGAGCAAGAAAACATAGAATTATTAGACCATCCGCCGTACAGCCCCGACCTAAGCTCTAATGATTTCTATACTTTCCCTAAAATAAAGAATAAATTGCGTGGACAGAGATTTTCATCACCTGAAGAAGCTGTGGACGCTTACAAAACGGCCATTTTGGAGACCCCAACTTCCGAATGGAATGGTTGCTTCAATGATTGGTTCCATCGTATGGAAAAATGTTTCAAATTTCGCGGAGAATACTTCGAAATGCAATAAATACATTTTTAAATAGTAATGTTGCGTCACTTCCTTGATTCCCCAAATTTTCAGTGCCGCCCTCGTACAATGAAGTATCAATATAAAATTTTACTTTGAAAAACAAATTCTGCTGGGTTTTTTTGGTTACTTCTAGCAAGAAAAGTTTTTCGAACTAATAGTATAAAGTGTCAGTCAATAAGTATTACGCTAAATTCTAATTTATTATTTTGCAACCTATAAGCTAATTATTCTAACCTGTATTATATTCATAATATTATGTTACTTACTATTGTCCAATTTGCTACCGACTTCAAACAGGAGGAGATACTCAATTCGACTGTATGTTTTTTAATGTGTGTTACCTAATAACTTTTTTCTGGATGAATCGATTTCGATGATTGGGACGGAATGCGGTCTTTCTTTGCATCCTACCCATGGGGGCGGGTTTGCTTCTCGCCGGATGATCCCAGTGCTGTTGCTGACTCTGTCACTGATGTGGTGCTACAGGGAATGGAACTATTTATTCCATCATCTGTGGTACCCATCGGAGGCAGATTTCAGCCTTGGTTTGGTCGCTCCTGTAAGACTGCATTGCGCAGTAAGCAGGAGTGTTATCAAGCCTGGGCTGCAGCTTCGGTGACTCGGGATGTAAACACCAGCACACTTAAAAAGAAGTATAACTTCGCCTCCAGGTCCTTCAAAAGAGTTATTGCCAAGGCAAAGTCAGAGCACATAGGCAGAATTGGCGAGAAACTAGTTCGCCTTCCTTCGGGAACCCGTGCATTCTGGTCTCTCGCCAAGGCTGTCCAAGGGAATTTCTGTAAGCCATCACTACCATCTCTGCACAGGGAGGATGACTCACTGGCCCATGACGCAAAAGACAAAGCCGACCTTTTAGGCTCCCTTTTTGCGTCCAACTCGACTCTTGATGACGGGGGGAAAACACCGCCGACCATCCCGCGGTGTGAGTGCTCCATGCCGGATGTGCTGTTCTCACAGCGCTCGGTTCGCAAAGCACTGCTCTCCCTGGACATCCAGAAGTCGAGTGGGCCTGACGGAATCCCCCCAATTGTGCTGAGGACGTGTGCTCCGGAGTTGGCACCGGTCCTAACGCGTCTTTTCCGGTACTCCTACTCCCAAGGCGTAGTCCCGAATTCATGGAAGACAGCTTTTGTCCACCCGATCCCTAAAAAAGGCGACCGCTCAGACCCGTCCAACTATAGGCCTATCGCGATCACCTCCTTGTTCTCCAAAATAATGGAATCCATTATTAACTGCCAGCTCATCCGGTACCTTGAGGATCACCAGCTGATTAGTGACCGCCAATACGGTTTTCGTCGGTGTCGATCAGCTGGTGATCTTCTTGTCTACCTGACCCATAGATGGGCGGAGGCAGTAGAGTCCAAGGGGGAGGCGTTGGCCGTTAGTCTGGACATTGCGAAGGCCTTTGATCGGGTATGGCACAAACCGCTTCTTTCAAAGCTACCTTCCTATGGGCTTCCCGAGAAATTGTGCAATTGGATCACCAGCTTTCTTGCAGATCGGAGCATCAAGGTCGTTGTAGACGGTGCATGTTCTGACTACAAGCCTATTAACGCTGGTGTTCCACAAGGCTGTGTGCTATCACCAACGCTGTTTCTTCTGCATATCAATGATATGTTGCTAACTGGTAACATTCATTGCTATGCGGATGACAGCACTGGTGATGCTCTATACACCGGCCGGGCCAATATTTCTCGGGAAAACGTCGCCGAGTACCGGAACAAACTTGTGTCTGAAGTCGAGTCTTTGCTGGACAAAGTCTCGGATTGGGGGCGACTAAATCTAGTCCAGTTTAATCCTCAGAAGACACAAGTTTGCGCGTTTACCGCTAAAAAGAACCCCTTTGTCGTATCTCCTCAGTTTCAAGGCACTCCCCTTCTTGCCTCAGCCAGTATCGGTATCCTCGGAGTCGACATATCGAGTGACGTGCAGTTTCGTGGTCACTTGGAAGAGAAGGCCAAATTGGCCTCTAAAAAGCTTGGCGTGCTCAGCAGAGCGGGACAGTATTTCATGCCGGCACACCGCCTGCAACTTTACAAGGCGCAGGTTCGGCCTCACATGGAATACTGTTCCTATCTCTGGGCAGGGGCTCCCCAGTGCCAGCTCCTTCCACTTGACCGCATCCAGCGCAGAGCGGCTCGAATCGTCGACGACCGAGCCCTTTCCGATCGGCTCGATTCATTGGCACTGCGAAGAGATGTTGCATCTCTTTGCATTTTCTTTCGCATCTACCATGGGGAGTGCTCTGAGGAATTGTTCGGATTAATCCCAGCCGCCAAATTTCACGAACGCACATCGCGGCAGAACTCCCGATACCATCCACACCATCTGGATGATTGGCGGTCCACCACTGTGCGATTTAGAAGATGTTTTCTTCCTCGCACAACTTTCTTGTGGAATAGTTTACCACCAGGGATTTTTCCGGACCGATACGACTTAGGGACCTTCAAGAAAAGAGCGTACTCCTTTTTAAAAGGCCGGCAACGCATCTGCAATTCCCCTGGTGTTGCGGTTGTTCATGGGCGGCGGTAGTCACTTGCCATCAGGTGAGCCGCATGCTCGTTTGCCCCCTCTCCTATAAAAAAAAAAAAAAAATTCTTTTTTATTTGAAAGCTAGTACTCCATGTGTGGTCCCATATAAATTTGATCAAGGTCTGACCAGGGTTTTTGAGTTATTCTTAATAATTGATGTATATTGAAGTCGGTTGTACAAAATTTTAAATTATATCATGTAGGATCACATTTTTCCGTCAATATTGCTGCGCATAACATGTGCATGGGTGTGCCTTGCTGGCAATTGTGCCCGCGCATGCGCTGGCTGGGGCTCAGCCGATAAAAGCGATTAGCTGGCACGGTAAATATGCCATGCAGCTGAAATTTAATTTACGAACAAATTTCTAGGCAAATGCGATATAAAATGAAATACTTATCTAAAATAAACTGCAAATTACGCTGAGAAAGTGTAATAAATAATGACAGCGTTTTCTTAGTCACATTTAACGAAATCAGTGTTAGATGGTCGGAAACAACGTTCGCGGTTTACAAAACAAAGAACTAGTTTTCTCGCCCGCTCGGAGTCGACTAAAGAAGTTACGGATAATAGACCGTAACTTAGTGCGCAATGTATTAGTACCGTAGTGGCCGTATAGTATTATACGTAGGAGTGTTTGGGTGCACTGAGGGAACGCGAGCCGTTGTTCAGAGTCTGCGTGCGTGTGCGGGCTGGAGGTGTCGGTGGTGCTGCGCACGGTGGACTACCACGGCGAGCCGCGCAGCACGGGCGGCGACCCGGTCAGCGCGGCCGCCACGCTCGACGACGCGCCGCTGCCCTGCGCCGTCGCGGACCTCGACTCCGGCCTCTACCGGTACTATGCACAGGGTGCATTTCGGTTATATCCTAATACTTTAAGCAAGCAATTTTTGTATTTATACTCTCATGTTTGTCATCAAGAGGGTTACGATCCTGACATACCACCCTTCCTTACCATTACTCTTACAACCTATCAAAAGTCCACTACTGAAGGCGTCCTATATTGACCCATAGGGGGAATATTTGCCATATTCGCCACGCTTGGCAGGCGTTATCAGTAAGATGCTGCTGCCCAAACCCTAGTATTTTTTCCTCTGTCGCCTCTTACGACACCCACGGGCGACACACTCGTTTAAATCCATATATCTACGCGCACGTGCTCGTCATATAACTTATACAAGTTTATAATGAACCCCTTAGAACAGGTCAATTTGAAGATAAGCTAATAAAGTGTTATGTTGTGTCAGGATCACGATGCGTCCATGGAGCGCGGGCGCGCTGTGCGTGCGCGTGCTGGTGTTCGCGCGCGCGGTGCGCGACTCGCCGCTGCGCGCGCCCGTGCTGCCCGCCGCCGCGCCGCTGCTCGTGTGGGGCTCGCGCGGCACCGGCAAGGACCAGCTCAGCCAGCCCGTCGCCGTCGCCAGGTACAATGATCCACCTATAGACTCGCCGCTGCGCGCGCCCGTGCTGCCCGCCGCCGCGCCGCTGCTCGTGTGGGGCTCGCGCGGCACCGGCAAGGACCAGCTCAGCCAGCCCGTCGCCGTCGCCAGGTACAATGATCCACCTATAGACTCGCCGCTGCGCGCGCCCGTGCTGCCCGCCGCCGCGCCGCTGCTCGTGTGGGGCTCGCGCGGCACCGGCAAGGACCAGCTCAGCCAGCCCGTCGCCGTCGCCAGGTACAATGATCCACCTATAGACTCGCCGCTGCGCGCGCCCGTGCTGCCCGCCGCCGCGCCGCTGCTCGTGTGGGGCTCGCGCGGCACCGGCAAGGACCAGCTCAGCCAGCCCGTCGCCGTCGCCAGGTACAATGATCCACCTATAGACTCGCCGCTGCGCGCGCCCGTGCTGCCCGCCGCCGCGCCGCTGCTCGTGTGGGGCTCGCGCGGCACCGGCAAGGACCAGCTCAGCCAGCCCGTCGCCGTCGCCAGGTACAATGATCCACCTATAGACTCGCCGCTGCGCGCGCCCGTGCTGCCCGCCGCCGCGCCGCTGCTCGTGTGGGGCTCGCGCGGCACCGGCAAGGACCAGCTCAGCCAGCCCGTCGCCGTCGCCAGGTACAATGATCCACCTATAGACTCGCCGCTGCGCGCGCCCGTGCTGCCCGCCGCCGCGCCGCTGCTCGTGTGGGGCTCGCGCGGCACCGGCAAGGACCAGCTCAGCCAGCCCGTCGCCGTCGCCAGGTACAATGATCCACCTATAGACTCGCCGCTGCGCGCGCCCGTGCTGCCCGCCGCCGCGCCGCTGCTCGTGTGGGGCTCGCGCGGCACCGGCAAGGACCAGCTCAGCCAGCCCGTCGCCGTCGCCAGGTACAATGATCCACCTATAGACTCGCCGCTGCGCGCGCCCGTGCTGCCCGCCGCCGCGCCGCTGCTCGTGTGGGGCTCGCGCGGCACCGGCAAGGACCAGCTCAGCCAGCCCGTCGCCGTCGCCAGGTACAATGATCCACCTATAGACTCGCCGCTGCGCGCGCCCGTGCTGCCCGCCGCCGCGCCGCTGCTCGTGTGGGGCTCGCGCGGCACCGGCAAGGACCAGCTCAGCCAGCCCGTCGCCGTCGCCAGGTACAATGATCCACCTATAGACTCGCCGCTGCGCGCGCCCGTGCTGCCCGCCGCCGCGCCGCTGCTCGTGTGGGGCTCGCGCGGCACCGGCAAGGACCAGCTCAGCCAGCCCGTCGCCGTCGCCAGGTACAATGATCCACCTATAGACTCGCCGCTGCGCGCGCCCGTGCTGCCCGCCGCCGCGCCGCTGCTCGTGTGGGGCTCGCGCGGCACCGGCAAGGACCAGCTCAGCCAGCCCGTCGCCGTCGCCAGGTACAATGATCCACCTATAGACTCGCCGCTGCGCGCGCCCGTGCTGCCCGCCGCCGCGCCGCTGCTCGTGTGGGGCTCGCGCGGCACCGGCAAGGACCAGCTCAGCCAGCCCGTCGCCGTCGCCAGGTACAATGATCCACCTATAGACTCGCCGCTGCGCGCGCCCGTGCTGCCCGCCGCCGCGCCGCTGCTCGTGTGGGGCTCGCGCGGCACCGGCAAGGACCAGCTCAGCCAGCCCGTCGCCGTCGCCAGGTACAATGATCCACCTATAGACTCGCCGCTGCGCGCGCCCGTGCTGCCCGCCGCCGCGCCGCTGCTCGTGTGGGGCTCGCGCGGCACCGGCAAGGACCAGCTCAGCCAGCCCGTCGCCGTCGCCAGGTACAATGATCCACCTATAGACTCGCCGCTGCGCGCGCCCGTGCTGCCCGCCGCCGCGCCGCTGCTCGTGTGGGGCTCGCGCGGCACCGGCAAGGACCAGCTCAGCCAGCCCGTCGCCGTCGCCAGGTACAATGATCCACCTATAGACTCGCCGCTGCGCGCGCCCGTGCTGCCCGCCGCCGCGCCGCTGCTCGTGTGGGGCTCGCGCGGCACCGGCAAGGACCAGCTCAGCCAGCCCGTCGCCGTCGCCAGGTACAATGATCCACCTATAGACTCGCCGCTGCGCGCGCCCGTGCTGCCCGCCGCCGCGCCGCTGCTCGTGTGGGGCTCGCGCGGCACCGGCAAGGACCAGCTCAGCCAGCCCGTCGCCGTCGCCAGGTACAATGATCCACCTATAGACTCGCCGCTGCGCGCGCCCGTGCTGCCCGCCGCCGCGCCGCTGCTCGTGTGGGGCTCGCGCGGCACCGGCAAGGACCAGCTCAGCCAGCCCGTCGCCGTCGCCAGGTACAATGATCCACCTATAGACTCGCCGCTGCGCGCGCCCGTGCTGCCCGCCGCCGCGCCGCTGCTCGTGTGGGGCTCGCGCGGCACCGGCAAGGACCAGCTCAGCCAGCCCGTCGCCGTCGCCAGGTACAATGATCCACCTATAGACTCGCCGCTGCGCGCGCCCGTGCTGCCCGCCGCCGCGCCGCTGCTCGTGTGGGGCTCGCGCGGCACCGGCAAGGACCAGCTCAGCCAGCCCGTCGCCGTCGCCAGGTACAATGATCCACCTATAGACTCGCCGCTGCGCGCGCCCGTGCTGCCCGCCGCCGCGCCGCTGCTCGTGTGGGGCTCGCGCGGCACCGGCAAGGACCAGCTCAGCCAGCCCGTCGCCGTCGCCAGGTACAATGATCCACCTATAGACTCGCCGCTGCGCGCGCCCGTGCTGCCCGCCGCCGCGCCGCTGCTCGTGTGGGGCTCGCGCGGCACCGGCAAGGACCAGCTCAGCCAGCCCGTCGCCGTCGCCAGGTACAATGATCCACCTATAGACTCGCCGCTGCGCGCGCCCGTGCTGCCCGCCGCCGCGCCGCTGCTCGTGTGGGGCTCGCGCGGCACCGGCAAGGACCAGCTCAGCCAGCCCGTCGCCGTCGCCAGGTACAATGATCCACCTATAGACTCGCCGCTGCGCGCGCCCGTGCTGCCCGCCGCCGCGCCGCTGCTCGTGTGGGGCTCGCGCGGCACCGGCAAGGACCAGCTCAGCCAGCCCGTCGCCGTCGCCAGGTACAATGATCCACCTATAGACTCGCCGCTGCGCGCGCCCGTGCTGCCCGCCGCCGCGCCGCTGCTCGTGTGGGGCTCGCGCGGCACCGGCAAGGACCAGCTCAGCCAGCCCGTCGCCGTCGCCAGGTACAATGATCCACCTATAGACTCGCCGCTGCGCGCGCCCGTGCTGCCCGCCGCCGCGCCGCTGCTCGTGTGGGGCTCGCGCGGCACCGGCAAGGACCAGCTCAGCCAGCCCGTCGCCGTCGCCAGGTACAATGATCCACCTATAGACTCGCCGCTGCGCGCGCCCGTGCTGCCCGCCGCCGCGCCGCTGCTCGTGTGGGGCTCGCGCGGCACCGGCAAGGACCAGCTCAGCCAGCCCGTCGCCGTCGCCAGGTACAATGATCCACCTATAGACTCGCCGCTGCGCGCGCCCGTGCTGCCCGCCGCCGCGCCGCTGCTCGTGTGGGGCTCGCGCGGCACCGGCAAGGACCAGCTCAGCCAGCCCGTCGCCGTCGCCAGGTACAATGATCCACCTATAGACTCGCCGCTGCGCGCGCCCGTGCTGCCCGCCGCCGCGCCGCTGCTCGTGTGGGGCTCGCGCGGCACCGGCAAGGACCAGCTCAGCCAGCCCGTCGCCGTCGCCAGGTACAATGATCCACCTATAGACTCGCCGCTGCGCGCGCCCGTGCTGCCCGCCGCCGCGCCGCTGCTCGTGTGGGGCTCGCGCGGCACCGGCAAGGACCAGCTCAGCCAGCCCGTCGCCGTCGCCAGATACAATGATCCACCTATAGACTCGCCGCTGCGCGCGCCCGTGCTGCCCGCCGCCGCGCCGCTGCTCGTGTGGGGCTCGCGCGGCACCGGCAAGGACCAGCTCAGCCAGCCCGTCGCCGTCGCCAGGTACAATGATCCACCTATAGACTCGCCGCTGCGCGCGCCCGTGCTGCCCGCCGCCGCGCCGCTGCTCGTGTGGGGCTCGCGCGGCACCGGCAAGGACCAGCTCAGCCAGCCCGTCGCCGTCGCCAGGTACAATGATCCACCTATAGACTCGCCGCTGCGCGCGCCCGTGCTGCCCGCCGCCGCGCCGCTGCTCGTGTGGAGCTCGCGCGGCACCGGCAAGGACCAGCTCAGCCAGCCCGTCGCCGTCGCCAGGTACAATGATCCACCTATAGACTCGCCGCTGCGCGCGCCCGTGCTGCCCGCCGCCGCGCCGCTGCTCGTGTGGGGCTCGCGCGGCACCGGCAAGGACCAGCTCAGCCAGCCCGTCGCCGTCGCCAGGTACAATGATCCACCTATAGACTCGCCGCTGCGCGCGCCCGTGCTGCCCGCCGCCGCGCCGCTGCTCGTGTGGGGCTCGCGCGGCACCGGCAAGGACCAGCTCAGCCAGCCCGTCGCCGTCGCCAGGTACAATGATCCACCTATAGACACGCCGCTGCGCGCGCCCGTGCTGCCCGCCGCCGCGCCGCTGCTCGTGTGGGGCTCGCGCGGCACCGGCAAGGACCAGCTCAGCCAGCCCGTCGCCGTCGCCAGGTACAATGATCCACCTATAGACTCGCCGCTGCGCGCGCCCGTGCTGCCCGCCGCCGCGCCGCTGCTCGTGTGGGGCTCGCGCGGCACCGGCAAGGACCAGCTCAGCCAGCCCGTCGCCGTCGCCAGGTACAATGATCCACCTATAGACTCGCCGCTGCGCGCGCCCGTGCTGCCCGCCGCCGCGCCGCTGCTCGTGTGGGGCTCGCGCGGCACCGGCAAGGACCAGCTCAGCCAGCCCGTCGCCGTCGCCAGGTACAATGATCCACCTATAGACTCGCCGCTGCGCGCGCCCGTGCTGCCCGCCGCCGCGCCGCTGCTCGTGTGGGGCTCGCGCGGCACCGGCAAGGACCAGCTCAGCCAGCCCGTCGCCGTCGCCAGGTACAATGATCCACCTATAGACTCGCCGCTGCGCGCGCCCGTGCTGCCCGCCGCCGCGCCGCTGCTCGTGTGGGGCTCGCGCGGCACCGGCAAGGACCAGCTCAGCCAGCCCGTCGCCGTCGCCAGGTACAATGATCCACCTATAGACTCGCCGCTGCGCGCGCCCGTGCTGCCCGCCGCCGCGCCGCTGCTCGTGTGGGGCTCGCGCGGCACCGGCAAGGACCAGCTCAGCCAGCCCGTCGCCGTCGCCAGGTACAATGATCCACCTATAGACTCGCCGCTGCGCGCGCCCGTGCTGCCCGCCGCCGCGCCGCTGCTCGTGTGGGGCTCGCGCGGCACCGGCAAGGACCAGCTCAGCCAGCCCGTCGCCGTCGCCAGGTACAATGATCCACCTATAGACTCGCCGCTGCGCGCGCCCGTGCTGCCCGCCGCCGCGCCGCTGCTCGTGTGGGGCTCGCGCGGCACCGGCAAGGACCAGCTCAGCCAGCCCGTCGCCGTCGCCAGGTACAATGATCCACCTATAGACTCGCCGCTGCGCGCGCCCGTGCTGCCCGCCGCCGCGCCGCTGCTCGTGTGGGGCTCGCGCGGCACCGGCAAGGACCAGCTCAGCCAGCCCGTCGCCGTCGCCAGGTACAATGATCCACCTATAGACTCGCCGCTGCGCGCGCCCGTGCTGCCCGCCGCCGCGCCGCTGCTCGTGTGGGGCTCGCGCGGCACCGGCAAGGACCAGCTCAGCCAGCCCGTCGCCGTCGCCAGGTACAATGATCCACCTATAGACTCGCCGCTGCGCGCGCCCGTGCTGCCCGCCGCCGCGCCGCTGCTCGTGTGGGGCTCGCGCGGCACCGGCAAGGACCAGCTCAGCCAGCCCGTCGCCGTCGCCAGGTACAATGATCCACCTATAGACTCGCCGCTGCGCGCGCCCGTGCTGCCCGCCGCCGCGCCGCTGCTCGTGTGGGGCTCGCGCGGCACCGGCAAGGACCAGCTCAGCCAGCCCGTCGCCGTCGCCAGGTACAATGATCCACCTATAGACTCGCCGCTGCGCGCGCCCGTGCTGCCCGCCGCCGCGCCGCTGCTCGTGTGGGGCTCGCGCGGCACCGGCAAGGACCAGCTCAGCCAGCCCGTCGCCGTCGCCAGGTACAATGATCCACCTATAGACTCGCCGCTGCGCGCGCCCGTGCTGCCCGCCGCCGCGCCGCTGCTCGTGTGGGGCTCGCGCGGCACCGGCAAGGACCAGCTCAGCCAGCCCGTCGCCGTCGCCAGGTACAATGATCCACCTATAGACTCGCCGCTGCGCGCGCCCGTGCTGCCCGCCGCCGCGCCGCTGCTCGTGTGGGGCTCGCGCGGCACCGGCAAGGACCAGCTCAGCCAGCCCGTCGCCGTCGCCAGGTACAATGATCCACCTATAGACTCGCCGCTGCGCGCGCCCGTGCTGCCCGCCGCCGCGCCGCTGCTCGTGTGGGGCTCGCGCGGCACCGGCAAGGACCAGCTCAGCCAGCCCGTCGCCGTCGCCAGGTACAATGATCCACCTATAGACTCGCCGCTGCGCGCGCCCGTGCTGCCCGCCGCCGCGCCGCTGCTCGTGTGGGGCTCGCGCGGCACCGGCAAGGACCAGCTCAGCCAGCCCGTCGCCGTCGCCAGGTACAATGATCCACCTATAGACTCGCCGCTGCGCGCGCCCGTGCTGCCCGCCGCCGCGCCGCTGCTCGTGTGGGGCTCGCGCGGCACCGGCAAGGACCAGCTCAGCCAGCCCGTCGCCGTCGCCAGGTACAATGATCCACCTATAGACTCGCCGCTGCGCGCGCCCGTGCTGCCCGCCGCCGCGCCGCTGCTCGTGTGGGGCTCGCGCGGCACCGGCAAGGACCAGCTCAGCCAGCCCGTCGCCGTCGCCAGGTACAATGATCCACCTATAGACTCGCCGCTGCGCGCGCCCGTGCTGCCCGCCGCCGCGCCGCTGCTCGTGTGGGGCTCGCGCGGCACCGGCAAGGACCAGCTCAGCCAGCCCGTCGCCGTCGCCAGGTACACCTCATTAAAGTTACAGCCTATGTACATCCCACTGCTGGGCACAGGCCTCCTATCATCTCTGAGAGGGTTTTAGGGAAATGTCCGCCGCGCTGCTGCCCCAATGCGTATTGGTAAACTTCGTATGTCTTCGCAATATTTTTTTTCTTATTTCTCAGACATACACGTTTCCTCAAGATGTTTTTCTTCATCGCCGAGCACGTGGTAAATCAGCATTTAATATTGCAATTAACAATTTCATTGGTGTCAGTGAGGACCGAACCCGGGTTACTCGCGTACTGTAAAATTTACAGCGAGCGCTTAGCCCCTGAGCTACCGCGGCTCACCTCATTCTCCCGACAATTTTTTTGATGTAAATACGTCTTTAAATTTGCTTACATAGTGGGAGGCAATTAAAAAAACTAACAATATAATGAGCATAACAACATAATACAATAAACATAATAGCAATAATAAAACACTTTGGTGTTGCAGCTACATATCATCTACGTAGAAAATTTAATTACACCACTCGACAGCTAAATGATAAAAGAATTCGTTACGTTAGGTGAAGACTGACACTGACACATCACGCGCGGCAAGACTGGGGAGTGAGTGCCGCCATTTTAAGGTCGTTTCGTTACGTACACGTATTCACGTAAAACATACGACCGTGTTCACGACACAACCCCACGCCGATATTTTTCTTTATTGTGGCATTGGCTACTAGTCTTTCAGCCAAAAAATACGTCATACACTACACTGTAATACATTTACAAAATGTAAATGTGTTAACAAATGTTTTCACAAATGTTGGTGCGTTAGGTTGTGTTAATTTTGAGCGATTTTGGCAGCAACCATCGATGAAAATAGTATCCCAATTTTTCAAGGCGCTTGAGAAAAAAAAATAACTTGAGGCTTATATACTATCTTAGCACTATCGTTTCCACGAACAGTTCACATGCACAGACATCAAAACGGCAGTACTTTTTCCTATTAAAATCCACTTCTAACCATTATTTCGCTTAGTTCGCGTCAAAATTATCTCCGGACTATTCGCTTAGAAACGAAACGTTTTAGAATCTTAGAGCCGACAGCACTGCATGTTTGGCTCGTTCGCTAGTTGTATGACGTTTGTATTTAAAAAATAAAACCAATATTTAGGCCAGGATCGACACGTCGTTTTTCGGCGGATATGCTCGTCTTAAGTTTAATATCTTTTTTATGGCGCAACTTCCATTTATTTGCCGCACTCTAGTTAAAATAGTGTAATATATAACGCGCTAATATATAAAAAAAAAAAAAATGTAGATATTCACACTAGACAGTGGCGCGCTTCTTCGTGGATGAACTATCAATAACGATGTACCTATCCTGTGTCTGTACTTTTAGCGACGATGAATAAAAAATGAATAATGGACTGACGACAGCAATAAACGGGCCTACAACACTATGCTAGTGTGATATTATTTCCAACGAGACATAATTCATTTCATACTTTATTTTCATAATTTTATTTTATAGATGTCTTGTATTTAAATAAAACTGATAATATAAAACCTGAAGGTTGAAACTGTAGGAACCCAGATTATTGGTTAACTATGGTATCGGGATATCAGATGCCTCAGTGCCCTCGTGATGGATGCTGTACTCCCAAAGTCTAGAATTAAATGAAAGTTAAACTGCGATAAAATCTGTTAAAATTGTTTTATTTAATGTAAGATAATTATTTTGTTATAATTTTAATTTAACTCTCTTTTTATTAATCAAATGTTAACTAAAACTATGCCGTTTAGTGGCGGCGTAAGAGAATAAACAACCCTGGAGTAGATATCATCCGTGAAGACCTAGAAATATACCTGTGCAGTTTTTTCGCGCAGGTCTATTCCAAATTCCAATACATAATTCCAATACAGCGCAAAATCGAAAATCAATTCTTTGCGCGGACAAAACTGCGCAGGCAAACGTTATACATGTCACGTGTTTGGTTCACATTACACGCCACGGCAACAACACTTTATAAACTTAAATTAACTATGTAAAATTTACAATTTCAGATGCCCAAAGAGACGCGAAATCTATGTGCTGGATGCCGGCAACTCAAGGGTCAAGGTGTTAGATGACGAAACATTCGCTTTTAAAACGCATATTGTAAATGAAGGTAAGTATTTTTGTAAGGTATTTTTAATTTTCATTAAAAACGCATCGTAGTTAACATGATACTCATGTCAAATAATCTACTTTTTAAAGATTTTAATTTTATTTTTTAAGATTGAGTGCTGTCAAAAAATAAATACGTATTTTAATACGTATTTCGGCAAGCCGAAAATATTAGTTGCGTGTCATGTATTTTTATTCACAGCATTGTATTGTTGATATATTTGTTACAGGATTAGCGGGTCGTAGTTGTACAGGGATTGCGGTAACAGCGGAAGGAGTGGTAGCCGTTAATTGGCGGACACGCACTTTAACCGAGGTACTTTCTATCATTTTATCGGAACTTTATAATATTCTAATGCTTGAAGTACGCATTTATGCGCATCGTCAAGCCGAACATATCAGTTGTGTGTCATATGAATATGACACACAACTATATGGTTATTATTTACACAACAATATGGTTATTAATTATTGTCAAGTAAAATCAGTGTAAACTTTTTCCCCAAATTCCCGATGGTAGATCAGCACGTGGATGTGCTTTGACGGATGTGAGGTTCCCTTTGTGGTGTAGATATATCCATTTATATACATCAGACAAAGTAAATCATTCTCAAACCTACTTTTAGAATTAATGATATTATACAAACTAACACCATGAAAAACAAGGTGTTAGTTTGTGCGTTTGCTAAAAAGTGACCAGAGTATCTGACGCCAAACGTACGTTGTACACGCGGTTTAAGTGTATACACAAACATAGGAGTGCTGTATCGCATGCGTTGCGTACGTAGAATGAATGTCCGTTTTTGCTTTTTATTATAAAGTTATTTTTTACCCTTTTGTTTCGTCTACGTAATCTACTATCATCCATACATTATAACGTATGGAAGTCTACTGCTGAACATGGCCCTCCCGCGTAGATTGCTTCAGAGGGCGGATTTTCCTATAGTTGTCACGGTTGACATGAATATGCTACCCATCTTCTGTTTTAGTTTCCCTCTGTCGACTCTTACAACACCCACGGGACGATTTGGAGTAGTGTATATTTTTAGACCGCCACTACATGGTGAACACTGTGTAACGGATATCTCAATCTTAATTTCATCTAAATAGTTAAAATAAAACTTTATCCCTATTTTACCTGGTCTTAATGGTGGAACTTTTTCTCCGAATTTATAAGGGACCCCTGATGTACACCTATGAAACCTATGAAAATTAAAAAAAAAAATCATCAAAATCGTTCACAATATACTCGTCGTAGCAGTAACAGTAAGTCAATCGACAGGCCTGTTGGTCTAGTGGTTAGTGACCCTGACTGCTATGCCGGAGGTCGTGGGTTCGATTCCCACCCAGGACAAATGTTTGTGTGATGAGCACGATCATTTGTTCTGTGTCTGGGTGTAATTTATCTATAATATTTATGTATTTAGAAATATATAAGTATGTTTATCAGTTGTCTAGTACCCATAACACAAGCTCTGCTTAGCTTGGGACTAGATGGCGTTATTTGATAGTTGTGGAATATTATTATTATTATTATTAATTAACTATGGCGTCAGTAACTAGGTACCTAATTATCTAGATCTACCTATAAATAATAATATCTTATCTTTCGGTATTCTTAGGAACAGTAAAGAATGAAAAGTCGACATTCCTATTGTTATTTAAGCACCCGCATGCTATGCAGTACCTTTTGGCTTTTTGAGAGGCCATACAATAAAACCTCAACAATAAATATCAAAAGTGCTTAAAAGACTTATAAGAGAAAAATACTTTTTTGCTAACGTAAGGCGCGTGACAGCTCGAGCGCGCGCCTGACAACCTCACGGAATTGGCCCCTTGTGGGGGACCGCGCAGCGTAGGTATATTTTCATGCTTAAAGCGCGGAGTGAGACAGGCCTGGTGATACGTAAATACAATGATCTACAAAAATATAGATCATTGCTCCATTTAACAAAAGTCTGCGATACCATAGGCCTATTTCTTATACATAAACCACAATAAGGTATTTTGTGACATAAAAGTGCAGTAAATTAAAAAGTGATTTATGAGCATTATTATTAGGAATGGCATATTAATCCTTGCGAACGAAAGTTACTTTATCATCAAGACAAAAAAACGTCGCTATTACAAAGCAATTTTATTTTCAAATTTCAAATTTAGTTGATAGAAAATATTCTTTTGATTTAATATACTAAACTTTAGGCTCTACATGACCATGTATAAAAATACGGATGGTAACATTTATCTATAATATAAAAATTAATCGCTCAATGTGTTGCTAAGCGCAAATCTCGAGAGCAGCTGAACCGACTTCGTTAATTCTTTTTTTATAATATTCCTTGAAGTACGAAGATGGTTCTTACGGAGAGAAAATTTTAAAAAATTGCCTGAAAAAGTCTAAAAACAACACTTTTATATATTTCCATACAAAAGATTCGTAATAATACTTAAAAGTCAATTTGAACTTTAATACCATACCATAAAGTGTAAGTGTTAGTGGAGGGGTTCCGGGAAGGCAAAACAATTGAGTAACGTTAGTATCGTATAAATATTAATGTCAATATTTGTGTAGGTATCATAATAAGAAATCAGAAATTGTAATTTTCATTGTGATTTTTTAGTGACTATTAAAAGAATTTTAAGTGTTTTATAATTTTTATTTTTTGACATAATGTAATTGTTGACTTATCAACTTTCTTTTTTTTATCTTACTAGCTGACCCGGTGCCCCGAATAGCAGAATAAGTAATTAAAAAAAATAATTAAAGAATCGACTGCTAGGCAGTACGAAGTTCGCCGGGTCAGCTAGTTTATTATATAATTAAACTTTCATGTTATATTTTATGACGCACTCGTGGTCGAAAATTATCAAATTAAATAAATCATTTGCTATGAAATGATTTTTTTTATATTTCAATTAATTTGAAGGTTTCACTTCTACCGCGTGTGATTGCAAACATGTTATTTTTTTTAAATATAGAATAAGGGTGTCTACCTGATAGTAAGTGGATGCTGTGGCCCATAGACATATATTTATCCTGGATTAAGAATTAAAATGCAGACGCGTTGTCACTCCTGCGGACTAAGATGGAATGACTCGCATCCAGTAAAAAGGGTGTCCGGTACTCTACACTCATCATACGAAACACAGCAAAATAAGCTGCTATTTAACGCTGGTATTCTGTGAGAGCGTGGTCCTTCCCCGGTCGTGTTAGACCCACGTACAAACCAAGTGCTGTTTGTGTGACAAAGTGTGGTGCGTTCAGGTGCGAATAGATGGGTCGACGGTGCGAACGATCCGGTCGGAGCGGCTGGTAGAGCCGGTGTGCGTGGCGGCCGACGTGCCCTCACGCCGCCTCGCCGTCGCCGACAACGGCGCACGAGCCGTCTTCATCTTCGACGCACACGGCAACATCGAGCGAGAGGTAAGATTTTGCTCCGCTCTTAGTACCGCATTACAGCCTTTCACAAATCCACTGTTGAACATAAGCCTCCGAGAACCTGAACCACCTGCATCCATCGACTTTCTAAATCTCTTATAAGGTCGTAATTCCATCTAGAGGGGGGCCGCCCTACTTCGCTTACCGGTACGAGGCTGCCACTCGAGAACCTTTCTTCCCCATCGGTTGTCGGTTTTTCGAGCTATATGACCGATTCATTGCCTCTTCAGTTTACTTATCCGCCTAATATATGTACGGCAATTAAATCCGGTCCTCTACGTGGAGCTGTAGCCGCAACGAGTTAAAATATACAAGTAAAAAAGAGAGTTTTAAGGCAAGATCACACATGTCTTCGAAATCTTCTATATATTCTAAATCTTCGCAATAACCGACCAAATTTGCAAAGTAGGTCCAAAATAAGTAATTTAGGCAAATGGTGAACAAAAATTAGTTCAAAAATATCTCAAACTTTCTGTCCTTTTTATCTTTTAATTTCGTAATGCGTGGTAATGCATTATTTTAACTAATTATTGTCATTCATAAATATCTAACGCCCACTATTTTAATACGCATGCACACATTCGTAAGGGTTAATCGGTCGTCGTTGTATATTGAATCGCACACACAAGAGCGCGCGTAAGCGTAGTTGTTGCCCATACATCACATAAAATTTGGGATAATTTCAAATAAAAATAGAAGCCTTATTTACTTGTATTTTCAAAAACTGCCATAACGATAAATCGTTATTTATATATTTGCACTTAAGTTTACATTGAAAAATAACCCTGTATGGCTCTACGTACAAGAATCCTAACACATCGGGCTTCAAAAAGTGATAATCGGCTAACCACAGCTTCACAAAGCTCTGTCCTCGTACGTGACGTTTTGTCGTTCGACTTTTCAGTCTTCTTTATTTGAACAGTTATTGACGGCATTAACTAGTATTCTCATACATTTGCTGTAGATTATTTTCATTTTAACAGCTCATAAAATATTTCAATTGACATGAGTATTGGTTAACTACATTCATAGAGCAACACGGGCCACCGGCGGATCGGAGGGGAGTAACCATACGCAGGCGTTCCCCCTGTCAAAGTATAAGTCCACGCAGTCTTATGCGTACAATAAAACTAGTTGCAGCCGCACTGCTCACTAGACTAAATCTAGTTGAGTAAATGAGTCGACGTCGTACAAAAACGCCGAACTGTTCAGTTGTTTGCTGGAAAAGCGATCTTCTACGTCAAATTTAAAAAATTTCTATGTGTGTGTGACATTGTTAGTTTATTGTTTTAATTATGTATGAGTTTCACAGTAACTTCTGTGTGCGCAGATTTCCCTCCGCAAAAAAATGACGGACAATGCACTATCAGTTAATACACTATGGCTACTCCCCTCGGGTATGCCTGTGGTCCGTGTTGCTCTATGACTACATTCGAAATTAAAAATACTCGATTTAGAAAAGATTTCTTCTTTTTAGGGTTCCGTACCTCAAAAGGAAAAAACGGAACCCTTATAGGATCACTTTGTTGTCCGTCTGTCTGTTTGTCTGTCAAGACCCTTATTCTCCGGAACGCGTGGAGGTATAAAGCTGAAATTCATATCAAATACTCAAGTCTACTGTCCCTTAGAACTGTGAAAAAATCAAACTTCTAAGCCAACTCAATCAAAAGATACAGCCGTTTATGCCGCAAATTTTCGACATTCGCAAGGGAATCAAAACCTACAGGGTACTTCCCGTGAACTCAGAATCTTGAAATTTGGTACGAAGCAACGTTTTATAGCACAGATAAAGGAAAAATTGCGAAATGCATAAATTTTTAGTTACATCATATAATAAAAATATTTTTAATAATTTTAAACTTATATACCTACAGATTTGTTCGGAACCCTCGGTGCGCGAGTCCGACTCGCACTTTGCCGGGTTTTTTTAAATTGATTCAAAATTGAGCATAAAAACTGATTTATATTATTAGCATTGGTCCGTAACAGATATCAGTCAAAACCAAAATTAGTAGGACCCAGTACTGCTATCGTGTAAACTGTTTTTATTTTAAAATTTTCCTTTATAATTATAGATCGGCAATGGTGAACTAGGGCTTGTCGGAGGCCTGGCTTTATCCGAAGACATGATTATCATAGCTGATGTTGCCGTACGGATTTACGACTCTGAGGGGAATTTGAAAAACACATTAGCACCAGTGCCTAAAGGTAAATAAGACTCTTAATTTCTGAACTAAGTATAACAGAAATTAATATCGTTTATGATACTACTACTACATAGTAATTTGTTTCCTTTTATTATGTATAAGAAATAGACATATGGTATCGCGGACTTTTTTTTAGATGGAGTAAAGATCTATATTTTTCTAGAACATTGTATTTACGTATCCCTAACGATAACACCAGCGTACGCGGACAAATAATTTCGGGAGTGCTTTTTCTTCTGACTTGCTTAACAAATATCCATATTTAAGGCTAGCTAAGTGATATAGCTTAATACTAAATAGCCTATACTATTCCACATGAATCTAGCTATAATATACAAAAAGAATTTAAACAAACAAAAAAAAAAAACAAAAAGCAGTTCCGCTTTATTATATTAAGTATAGATTATTATATATAAGAAATAAGTACTGAATATATAAACCTTGCAGAACTCCTATCGGCTCGGATTTGATATCAGCTTCTTATGTATATTATGCTTTCGTGTCTTTTTTATAAAATTTAAGTGACAACTAGATAATCTAGGTGTGAGAAAGTGAGGAGTGCGGTATGCACGAAGTTGCAGCCGCTTGAGTACCACATGCCCAGCAATATGCTTTTTTATGCCTCTAGTCCATTGTTGTCTCGCGTCAATTGTTTGAAAACAAGTTAATATTCAAACTGAATTGAAAGTTTGCCGACTTGTGTTTAATTTTTTGAACATTTAGTGAACTAAGGAATATCAAGCCAAAGTAACATAATATAATGTTTCTAAATATTTACATTAAAAACTTCATTTGATATTTATCCACCGTTCGCTATGTTTTTCTTCAAGTATATGGGATAATCCCTTAAGTATAAGTTATTCAAGTATTACGTAAGCACTTAAGGGGGGCGGGGGTCTTTGATTTGCTTATTTTTGATGACATGGGGGATGGGGAGATCTGGATGGTGATTACGCTAGCAATATTTTTTTTTCTGATTTTCTGCAAAATTTAGTCAATTTTGATTTGACACACACATATGGCAACCATGGTACGAGATGGTACGACCCTGATCCAGGGTTTGTCGAGTCACGTTATTACATTTAAGCGATTGGCATCTGATCTTCGTAACTCTTAGACAGGGGAACCAGACAGATTAGATCATGGTTACACGTCTAGATATTCTAAATGCAGGTTTTCTTACGATGTTTTTCCTGACTGCCGAGGTAGTGGTATAAATCCGCACTTAGATTTTGAAAATCCAGAGGTGCATGCCTAGGATTGATTTTTCAACTTCACGTATGTGAGGCGCGCGGTATTATCCACTGGGCTACTATCGCCCTAATAGCGAACCGCTATAGTTAAAAATCTCTCTATAGACTATAAACTCCTTATTTTTATACTTGTAACTGCTGTTCATGAACCAATAAGGAAACCAGAACAGATTAAAAAATACTTATATAAATGTTTACGTTCGCGTGGGGGATGGGGGGTTAAGAACTTTGCTTACTTTTGCTGACGAGGGGAAGGGGGCGGCCAAAAATTACAAAAATTCTGCTTACGTAATACTTGAACGGCACCTTTGTCTAAAAACAGTAATTGCTGTGAATGACGACTCCGTGGCATATTTACTATGCCAGCTTATAGCCCTCGGCTCGCGCGATGAACAGTTGTGACACAGTTTTATTCTAAATTGTCGGACTAGTACAAGTCGCGGCACGTAAGTCTAGCGCTGTACGAAATGTGGAGGGGATAGCTGTGCATGCAACTACTATAAATTGCACGAATGAGACTGGAGAGCCAATCAGAGCGTGCGAAAGATGCGCACGAAGCAATAAGCGCGTAGGAATGACGCACACCCGCTCAGCGACCCGCTTACTACCCCATGATACCTTATTTTTGACTTATGCGTAATAACGGTCACTGCTAGACTTTCGTGCCGCTACTTATAGTATACACATCTACTTTACTGAAAATGCGTTGTCATCTCTGAGGTCTAAGATGGAAAGCTTTATAGCATGTAATCATACTGTCTTTCTATAGCTCTATAACCTAACCTCACTGGGTAAGTGCTGTAAGCGTTACAAATGTACTTCTAGGCACAAAGGAGTTCTGTCGCATAGTAAGCTATTATTCCATCAGTAATTTGTAATTCATGATTGATGGAATCCGTTAGTTTATGAATGAATGTGTAGTAGCCCCCTTAGAGAGAGTTATTTGCGCAAGGGTGAATCGGGTTAGTGTGTAGTGGCGGTATAAGAATATTCACTATTCTATATCATCCCGTGGGTGTCGTAAGAAACGATAGAGGGGAATAAATCAGGGGATAGGCAGCAGGTCTTTTTAATAACGACAAATAAAAAACTGTAGTTGCCAACCCGCTTGCCAAGCGTGGTAACTATGGCAGGAATCCTCGCTATAAGGCAATTGGATTAGTAAGCTGAAGTGGCAATGGAAGAATCGACAATCATGGGGAAGAAAGGTTATCGAGTGGCAGCCTCGTACCGGTAGGCGAAGTGTAAGGTGACCCCCACTAGATGGAGTGACGACCTGGTAAGATATGCAGGAAATCGATGGATACAGGTGGATCAGGACCGTGTTTTGTGGCATTCCTTGAAGGAGGCCTACGTTCAGCAGTGGACTTGTGACGAGATGTAAAGATGATGATGATGATAAGGGGATCTATGGGGCGGGCTTATGTGCAGTACTGGACTTGTGAAGGGCTGTAACGGTTGTATCGGTGGCATGAGAGTGTGGGTGGGTGGCGCAGGTCGCGGCGGGTACGGCGGCGTGGCGCTGGAGCGGTGCGCGGGCTGCTCGGGCTGTTCGGGCTGGGTGATCGTGTGCACGCGCGCGGTGCGCGGCCGGCCGGCGCTGCTGGCGCTGGAGGCGTGCGAGGCGGGCGGGGCGGCGGGCGGCGCGGCGGGCGGGCAGGCGGGCGGGCGCGTGCTGGCGGCGTGCGAGCTGGCCGAGCGCCGGCCGCGCCGCGTGGCCGGCCTGGCGCTGCTGCCGCGCCGCCGCGCGCTGCTCGCCGACCTGGCCGGCGACTGCCTGCGCCTGCACGCCTACTGGTGAGGTCAGTACCGCACTCACTATACAAACCTTATGGCTGTCTCGTGTTTTATACGTGGTGGAAATATGCTGCAGCTATATTATGCTTATAGTACAAATGGATCAGCTCGACCAAAGTAGGACCACGCTCTCACAAATTCCCTGCGTAAAATAGCAACTAAATGTTGCCATGTTTCGCATAGAGAATCATAGATATCTTTTACTGAAAACAAAGCATTCTATCTTAGACCTCAAGGGTGACAACATCTGTATTTTGATTCTTAATTGAGGATAAATGTAGATGTCTATGGATCACAACATTCACTTACAATCATGTGGACTGTGAGCTCGCTTATCACCCCTATTCTATAAAAAAAAAACACCCGTGTGTTTTACATCAATACGTGTACTGTACGTAAAGAAACGACCTCAATGCATCATAGTCCTCTCTCAAAGTAACGAATTCTGATCCTTTAGCTGTGGTGTATTAAAATGTCAGATATAGATTATAAATATATAGCTGCAACACCAAACTATCCCCAAATTTTGTTAACGTGTGTGACGTGAAACGGTTGCTCCCTTTCATGAATACCTTTTTTGACACAGACTAAGGTAAGTTGGAGCCCGCGGGCTCTAACCCGGGTTGCATGCAACCAAGTCTCGATGCTCTTCTAGTGAGTAGTGCACATCACTTCAATAGTCCAAGGTTCACTCCACGGACGTGTCGAAACCAACTATGAGCGAAGGAAGCGATGTGATTTGATCTAACCCAATCCTATTGTAATTTCGGAAAGCGGCCAAATCTCCATGTGGTAGTATCGAAGTATATACTGATCACGTCGGGGTCACCACTGAGGCGAGGTGGAAGGAAAAGGGGAGATCTCCCGCCGGGCAAGGTGTTCTGCCCGGGGAGCGGCCAACGCTCCGATTGGTAGTTCGGAGCTATTCTATATATGCTGCTTTAACTTCGGAACTTTGTTAGTGCGATTTAGGCTTCTATGTGTTTCGCTTGTGGGGCGACGACAGCGCCTCCACAATACAATCATATTATATAATATAGCACAATCTCAAAACCTAAAGACCGTAAAAAAATAGCAGTAAACATAAAACATATGTAATTATTATATTGTTACGAGCTTGAGGTTCGAGATAATTAGAAACTGCCGAGTGAATTACCAAAATTGACACTTTAATTACACAACACTAATTGCAACTTAAAAATCACACTAATAATAAAACACAGTTCGCCGTTATTTCGCTTCGAAGTATTCTCTCCTATCGCCAATTCAATACTGCCTTGGTCGTGGTCTATACCGGCCTTATATAGGGCCTCAGATAGTTTCCAGAACCTTCTACTGTAGCGCCATCTAGGATGTTCGAGTACATATCGGTCCCGAAATTTCTGGAAGGATCTTGACTACTAGTTCTGCTACTCGACACTAGAGGGCGCTAGTGTAATTAGTGTTGCCATGTACAAGACATTAATAGTGGCGCGCAACACTGCTCCCTTCTAAGTCATGCTCGTCCCGAGCACTATTGGCCCCATAATAACGCGCCAGTCGATCCACATGGACGATCTTAGGAGTACCTCTGCCACCTTTCTGTATCCGGTAGGTTACGTCATTGATCCTTGTCACAATCCGGTACGGTCCGTCCCATTTAGCTGGAATCTTAGGAGATTTCCATTTGCTGCGAACTGGATTGTGTAACCACACTAGTGAACCTTCGTCAAACCCTTTGTTGTTCATTTTGCAGTCATACCGCGTTTTCATCTTCTCAGACGTTTGCTGGCCCGACTGTCTGACGTGCTCATAAATGTCATTCATTTTGTTCCGCAAGTCATTTGCATAATCGGTTATACTGCGTGGGGCATCAGGTGGTATTCCGTTGATCAGGTCTGCAGACAGCCGTAATTCTCTCCCAAAGTTTGCGAAAGCTGGTGTCACTGATGTACTTTCGTGAACAGCGCTTAGATATGACAACAAAACGGTTGTATGTGCCTGTCCCAGTCTCGTTGCCGATTTTCCACAACTTTTGCTAGGTATCTCTCCAATGTCTGATTAAATCGTTCTACCATTCCATCAGATTGTGGGTGGTAAGAAGTTGTTCTTGTTTTATGAGTACCCATAACTCTACAAGTTTCCTGGAATATTTGACTCAAAATTCCTTCCTTCGCTGTGAATCTCTAAAGGTACTCCAAAACGACAGAAGACTTCATCAACTAGTTTATCTGCAACTGTTGAAGCTTCTTGTTTTGGAATGGCGAAGACTTCTGGCCACTTAGTGAAGTAATCCATCACAACCACGAAATACTTGTTACCACTTTCACTTTCCGGAAACAGCCCCGCAACGTCAATGGCTATCCTCTCTCATGGTGCACCAACATTGTACAATTTCAATGCGCCTCTACTACGAATTTGAGGTCCCTTTACAGCCGCACAACTTGTACATTTGCGGCACCAGTCCTCGACATCGTCACGACAGTGGACCCAGTAAAACCGTTCTCGGATCTTCAGTAGAGTTAAACTCCCAGATAGCCTCCTGAACAACCACTATGGTACAGCTGTGGAACATCCGGTACTTTAGCTTTAGGTACAACCATTTGCAAATGACAGCTGTCTCCCCGACCATTTTCCCATTTACGGCACAGGACTCCATCCTGAATCAGCAAGCTGTCCCATTGGGCCCAATAGCTTTTCGTGGTCGAACTCATTGCTGAGACGTCGCTCCACTTGGGCTTAGGAGCACTGGCCTTCATCCATTCCAGAATCGGCTTAATGTACGAATCTTCCTGCTGTGCATGTTGTAGGCTGTCCTTCCACTCATTGATGAGCTGATCTGTCCTGAGAATCCTCACAGATACCACTTCATTACCCTCTTGCCTAGTACAATGCTTACAATCTCCAGGGCAAGGTCTTCTTGACAATGCATCTGCATTGCCATGAGATTTCCCGCTGCGATGTTCGATCACAAAGTCGTATTCCTGCAGTAGTTCAATCCATCTCGCAACTTGTCCTTCCGGATTTTTGAACTGCAATAGCCATTTCAATGCAGCATGGTCAGTTCGTAAGTGGAATTTCCGCCCCAGAAGATATTTGCTAAAATGCTGCAAAGACTTTACCCCAGCAAGCAATTCCCGTCTTGTGACACAATAGTTTCTTTCCGGCTTTGACAACGACTTGCTGAAGTACGATATCACAATCTCTTGATCACCATTCCGTTGAGACAACACACTGCCAAGTCCTATATCACTTACGTCTGTGTCCACTATAAATTCCTTGCCCGCATCAGGGTACCCCAAAATAGGTGTTTTGCACAAACTGTTCTTGAGCTCCTGAAATGCAATATCGTAACTTTGATCCCAGCAGAAATGTCGCTTCTCCTCGGTTAGCTTGTGCAGAGGTTTGGCTATATCTGCAAAGTTCTTCACAAATCGCCGATAATAAGAGCACAAACCCAAAAATGCTGTAACCTGTGTCTTGTCTTTTGGAACCGGCCACTCCTTGACAGCGGCAATTTTCTCTGGATCCGTGCGGATACCTTCTTCCGACATTACATACCCCAAAAAGCTAACTTGCCGTTTGAATAGTGAGCACTTCTTCGGACTCAACTTGAGGTTGGCCCTCTGGATCTTCATGAGCACGCGTTCCAGGTTTTGAAGGTGTTCCTCAAACGTACGGCCTACGATGATGATGTCATCCAAGTAGACCAGACAGGCATCTCCAATTTGCCCGGTAAGTACAAGCTCCATCAACTTTTCAAACGTTGCTGGAGCATTGCACAAGCCAAACGGCATGACCTTAAATTGCCACAGACCCTTTCCTGTGGAGAATGCAGTTTTCTTCTTGTCCTTAGGGTCAATTTCAACCTGCCAGTAGCCACTTTTCAGGTCCAGCGTACTAAACCACTTTAAGCCTGTGAGCATGTCCAGCGTGTCATCAAATCTTGGAAAGGGATAGCTGTCCTTCTTTCGTAACGACGTTCAGGCGGCGGTAGTCAACACAAAACCGCATGCTGCCGTCCTTCTTCTTTACCAGCACCACAGGTGAACACCATGGACTAGATGAAGGTTCAATAAACCATCCTTCACCATTCCCACAATCATGGTTTCCACTTCCTTTTCACGTGCTACAGGCAATCTTCTTGGCCGCTGACGAATAGGCAATTCTTCTCCTGTGTTTATTTTGTGTTGAACTTAGCCAGTCTTTCCTATGTCAGCTTCGTTTGACGAGAAAACATTGGCGTACTTGAGTAACAACTTCTTCGCCTTGACCATTTCATCCGGGGACAGAACGCTGCGACAGTCTTCTAAAAGTATGGTCACTCTCGTTTGTCCATCCTTGCTGGGGGTCCCAGTCGATAGATATTGGCACAGACGCAACTAATCCACTTCCTCACTAGTACCAATCAATATGCCTTTGTCTATAATCTGTTCCTGATCACAAAGGTTCAGCACACGTACTCCTGAGATGTCGGCGGTTCTGACCAAGGTTCGAGCCACTTTTCACGGAAGGTCATTGTCTACCCTTTCCACGAGTACACAACCAAGAGTTTGCCCAGGATTCCGAGGAAGTCTAATCGGCACAATCGTTTCCGATCTCGGCGGAAGAACAATCTTCTTAAGGCTGTACACATTCCCTGGTAACGCCCCTTCCACGAAAAGTTCCTTTTGTCCACATTTCAAAACACCTTGCTTAATGTTGATCTCACAACAATTCTTCTTCATAAATTCTAGGCCCAGGATGCAGTCGTCCATTATATCGGCCACGATGACATTATGCAGGTAGATCATGTTGCCTAGCTTCAACTCCATCTCCTCTCCACGGAAGGGTATGCGCTGACCGGTGGCTGTCACCAAATTAATGCGTTCTCGGTTGTATGCGGAGTCCCCAAGGAACTGACTTATAAGTTGGGAACTGACAACCGTGCGAGAGGCTCCAGTGTCTATGGTCAGTTTACACGGCGTTCCGTTGACCTCGCCCTTGATGATTAAGCTGTTCCCATCACGGGTTTGTGAGATCGAA